ACAGTTCCAAGTGATTGGCAATCTTGTTTTTAGGGCCCGTTCAAAGGTTTTGATAATGTGTGAAGTTAGCATTACTTTTCTTTAGTTTGTATTGATTTCTTTACTGCATCCTTTGTGAAATGGGACAATATTGACGATTTTTAATGACTGTGGGACGACACTTGTGTCCAGGATCTTTATAGAATACTGAAGGCCCGAGATGGTGTTTTCTTTCTGTGATGAAAAAGGAGTTCCATAAGCTTTTTCCCGGGGCAGAGTTCATGAGTATGCTGGTCCCGGGGCAGAGTTCATGAGTATGCTGGTCCCGGGGCAGAGTTCATGAGTATGCTGGTCCCGGGGCAGAGTTCATGAGTATGCTGGTCCCGGGGCAGAGTTCATGAGTATGCTGGTCCCGGGGCAGAGTTCATGAGTATGCTGGTCCCGGGCAGAGTTCATGAGTATGCTGGTCCCGGGGCAGAGTTCATGAGTATGCTGGTCCCGGGGCAGAGTTCATGAGTATGCTGGTCCCGGGGCAGAGTTCATGAGTATGCTGGTCCCGGGGCAGAGTTCATGAGTATGCTGGTCCCGGGGCAGAGTTCATGAGTATGCTGGTCCCGGGCAGAGTTCGTGAGTATGCTGGTCCCGGCAGAGTTCGTGAGTATGCTGGTCCCGGGCAGAGTTCGTGAGTATGCTGGTCCGCGGGCAGAGTTCGTGAGTATGCTGGTCCCGGGGCAGAGTTCATGAGTACGCTGGTCCCGGGGCAGAGTTCATGAGTATGCTGGTCCCGGGGCAGAGTTCATGAGTACGCTGGTCCCGGGGCAGAGTTCATGAGTATGCTGGTCCCGGGGCAGAGTTCATGAGTATGCTGGTCCCGGGGCAGAGTTCATGAGTATGCTGGTCCCGGGGCAGAGTTCATGAGTATGCTGGTCTCCTTCCCTCAGTCTTATTATGTCATCTTTTACACTTGCCTTATGGTGTGGCTGTGAAGAGTTTGCCCATATTTGGCTTTTGCTGCTATTTTATTCTCAAACTTGCATTCATCCTCTCTCCTCACCCTTACATATTCATTTCTGGTTCTTCTGCTCACTTCTGTTGTCGTGTCCTCCAATTTCTTTAGTTATAATATCCATTTTCTTCCTCTACATTTTTTTGGTGAAAGTATAATCTTTGTTTTTGCCATTTTCCTTCTGGGTATGAAATTTTGTCTTCTGGCACTCTCTGGCTAGGTATTCTATCTTACTGACTGCCTTTCCGTCCCCTTTCCCACTGCACAGCATCCAGGAAGTCTCTCATCCTTCAAAATTTCCTTTTCTGAAGTCTGTGTTTTCGCTCCTTCCCTCACCCCCCCCCCCGTCCCTCCCTTCCTCTCCCATGAGCCGTTCTTCGCACGTTTAATTCCACAGGGTATTCAAAATTCAGGACTGTATGGTCAAGTGCCTGGGAGGTTTTCTATTCTTTTTCACTGATATCAGATATACTCTTTGGTGAATAATAGATTTGATCTTGCTGGCTCGTCTCTCTCTTTTTCTCTTTCTCTTGTAGTGTCCTTGATATGCTGACAGTTTTCCCTAACCACCACCATCGTCATAGCCCTCCAAGTTTCACTGATTTCTGTTTAGCAGTGCAACTCATTCCCCTTCCCACTTTCTTTCTGATATAGTGCTGTGATATATCTGTTTTCACTTTACATAGCTTCGACTCTGTGGGAGCTGTGTCTGGGGTAACTTTGGTATTCGTTTTTTTTTTTCAGTTAATCATTCTTGTTGAGTAATGTATCGGCATGTGTGTATCATACTATGAGCTTTCTTTCCTTTACCATGCTGAAGTTTGTGTTGTCTAGGTTTTCTTTTCGTTACTCATCTGTCAGAGGAGGGAAGACAAGGCTGGGGGTGGTGTGTGCATTTTTACAGGGGAAGGGGTAAATTATGGGGTTGTTATTATTGGGGGGGGGGATGGAGGCGGGCCCTGAGTTGGGCCTGCTAGGTGGGCCGGCGGTGAGCCTTAAGAAGTTCAAGTCTAGGTGCTCCATCTTGCTTCCCCTTCCTGTCCAACAGCTTTTTATGTGATCAGGTGTTCTCTCCACTTCTTACCTGTCTCGATCCATGTTTACGTAATAATACTACGTTTCCACTTAAAGTGCTTTCTGTATCCAGATCAGAATACCGGCGAAAAAAAAAAAAAGATTCTGGAGACAGACCTGTGTGTGACCAGATTAGTTTGATTAAGCGTTGTTGCCTTAGGAGAACTACCCAATGTACTGCAAATTTCTCACCTGGCCTATCTTTTCCTCTCCTGCGCAATCAATGATAGATATACCCTCATGTTCTTCCTCTTCACATCTCCTTCCTGATCTGCCATCAGTCTCCTCAAGTCCATAGATCGTCAGTGACCTTCCTCTTAATTACCTTATTTTTCTCCGGTGGGCCTTGTCTGTCTTCACCGGTTCCCTTGCCGTCTCTTATTACTTTCTGTACTTAATTGTCTCCTGAGAATATCTCTATAAACGACTTTTCTCTCTTGTCCTTTCTGGATCCCTCTGCTCCTTCCTAGTACTGTTCCTCCTATTCTCCTCCTCATTTATTCCATGGTCTTCAACTATTTCATTTCCTCTTCGAGTCTTAGAGCTCTGTCATTAGTCATATCAGTAATATTTACTTGTTCCATAATTTCCTCCTGAAGGCAACTGAACGTCCTCTTCCACTCTGCTCTTTGGACCAGCTATTATCATATCTAATTATTGCCGCCAACTGTCTTCTCTCCCACTTGTGAGCGTTCTTGTGTTTTATTATAGTTTTGCCCTCTGGGTTATACACAAGTGAAACAAAGTTTATCCATTTTCAGCTTTTCCCAGGTATGGAGAGAGTTTATCATTGATGGCAGGTGGTAGAATATGATTGTAGTTTGCGTTGTCCGTGTTCAGCAGTGGCTACCCTTTCAGAAGAGGCAAGTGTGTGGGCGTGTGCGTACGTACACATGATAGTACCTACAACAATCATGGTGTAAATGAGACTGTGGAGCAGGACAGGATGGGGAAGGCTTACACCAAGATTAACATAAGCCGGTAATGGGTGAAGCGTGGACTGTGACACACCGCCACACAAGATCCACCTGCTCGTCAACCTACACACTGTTGTCGTCCTTAACTACATAAACATTGTTGATCCCTGACACCACCTCGTCTGGTTGATGACCTCGCTACCGATTAACACTGTCCTCCAGTGTAGAGGATTAATACTGTCAGTGTAGAGGATTAATACTGTCAGTGTAGAGGATTAATACTGTCAGTGTAGAGGAATAATACTGTCAGTGTAGAGGATTAATACTGTCATTGTAGAGGATTAATACTGTCATTGTAGAGGATTAATACTGTCATTGTAGAGGATTAATACTCTCATTGTAGAGGATTAATACTCTCATTGTAGAGGATTAATGCTGTCAGTGTAGAGGATTAATACTGTCAGTGTAGAGGATTAATACTGTCAGTGTAGAGGATTAATACTGTCAGTGTAGAGGATTAATGCTGTCAGTGTAGAGGATTAATGCTGTCAGTGTAGAGGATTAATGCTGTCAGTGTAGAGGATTAATGCTGTCAGTGTAGAGGATTAATGCTGTCAGTGTAGAGGATTAATAATGTCAGTGTAGAGGATTAATGCTGTCAGTGTAGAGGATTAATGCTGTCAGTGTAGAGGATTAATGCTGTCACTGAAGAGGATTAATGCTGTCACTGTAGAGGATTAATGCTGTCACTGAAGAGGATTAATGCTGTCACTGAAGAGGATTAATGCTGTCACTGAAGAGGATTAATACTGTCAGTGTAGAACATTAATGTTTTCAGAGTATTAATACTGTCACGGTAGAGATTAATACTGTCACAGTAGAACATTAAATCTGTCACTGAAGAGGATTAATACTGTCACTGAAGAGGATTAATACTGTCACTGAAACTGTTACGTGAACTGGATTTTAATCATATTGCGAGTGTATTAAAAATTTGTTAGTAGAACACTCATAACCAGTAACAGGTGTGTCACACGTGTCATAGATGTCACAAGTGTATCAGGTGCGTTACATGTGTGGCACAGATGCATCACAGGTGTGTCAGAGGTGCGTCACATGTCTTACAGGTGTCACAGATGCGCCATAAGTGTGTCACAGGTGTGTCACCGATACATCATCAACTCTTGTCAAAATTAAGAGTGCATGTGGCTTGTCATACCTGTGATCAGTGTGCAAAGTTTTTCTCGGGAGGCTCAGCCTGAGACCCAGCCTGAGACCCAGCCTGAGACCTAGCCTGAGACCCAGCCTGAGGCTCAGCCTGTGGTCCATCCTGAGGCCCGGCCTGAGGCCCGGCCTGAGGCCCGGCCTGAGGCCCGGCCTGAGGCCCGGCCTGAGACCCAGTCTGAGGTTCGGCCTGAGGCCCAGTCTGAGGTTCGGCCTGAGGCCCAGCCTTAGTGGCAGGACTGGTGAAGTGCCTGGTCAACTAGGTTGTTACTGTCACAGGCCTACATAGCCATCACAACCTAGCTGATGTAACATAGCATGACTTTGAACAATGTTTCGCTGACCTGTGAGCGAAACTATAATATAAGCTTACTATATTACACATTTTTTGTTGTTCCATACCTGTGTTACACCTGTCTTTGTTGTACCATACCTGTGCTACACCTATTAACCTGTTAGTGTTTACCTGGAGTTTTACCTGGAGAGGGTTTCGGGGGTCAACGCCCCCGCGGCCCGGTCTGAGACCAGGCCTCATGGTGGATCAAGGTCTGATCAACCAGGCTGTTACTGCTGGCCGCACGGAAGCTGACGTATGAACCACAGTCCGGTTGGTCAGGTACTGACTTCAGGTGCCTGTCCAGTGCATTCTTGAAGACAACCAGTAGTCTATTGGTAATCCCCCTTATGTATGCTGGGAGGCAGTGTGTTAATAACCTTGTATTGACTGTTAGTGGTAATTAATTTGTACTGTCAGTTGTAATTAACTTGTACTGACTGTCAGTGTTAGCAGACTTGTACTGACTGTCAGTGTGTGTTTGCAGGTTCGCGTGATGGAGCGGAGACTGGAGTGGAGTGCTGGTGGTGGTGGAGGGAGTGATGGTGGAGGAAGCTCTGGAGGAGGCAGGAGTGAGGGAGTCGATGACATGGACGACCTCCAGGTGGAAATGGTGGAGAAGGAAGCAGTGATCACCACCCTCTCCACCCAGGTGGAGGAGCAGGTGAGTGATGGAGGGACCGGATGGTGGTGGGAGGGAGCAGGTGAGTGATGGAGAGGGATATAGGACTAATACCCCCGTATAATCATGTACTAGTAATGTAGACTATTTCCACTGTGGGTCCTAACAGTCGAACTAGGATGTTATGTACAACACATTACCTAGTTACAGGTACCTACCTACTTGTGTACGAATGGTATACAATACCGACAAAATGAGATTAAGACACATGTGCAACATCTGGGTATCTTTATTGTAGACGTTTCGCAATCCAGTGGCTTTATCAATACAAATTCTAGGACATAACTTGAAGACAGTAGAACTATGTACAGAAGATGAGGTAATCAGTCCCTCAACCTAGGAGTAGGTGCGAAGAGCACCATAGTCGTGGAGATTCTGAAGCAGAAGAAAGGATCCTGGCGCTTATATAGTAACGTCAGGTGTAGCAGACGAGGGCAAATTCACTGGTAGGCGGGATTCCCCAGTGGAAGTAGGTCCTTCCCAAAAAGATGGGTTAGTTGTAGTAGTAGTTGTCGTAGTCGTGAAGGTTATGTACATGTCCTCAGAATTAAGATTCCATGATGTTGCAGTGTCTGACAAGTTGTGTACGAATGGTATACAATACAATGTCCTAGAATTTGTATTGATAAAGCCACTGGATTGCGAAACGTCTACAATAAAGATACCCAGATGTTGCACATGTGTCTTAATCTCACCTACCTACTTATAGGTGTGAGGAGACTTGCCCATACGTCCCACCCAGGAATCGAAGGCAGGTTCCTTCGGTTGTATGGTTGTAACCTTGAGCTCCAGGTGATACTAGCAACTCAGAGAGCTCTAATGAGCACTTCAGTAAGTCCCATCAAGGGCGGAGGCTTAGTGTAGTACTTAATCATGCACTGCACAAATTACACAAACAATTTTCGGCTTTAATCGCACAGAGCACTTGAGACAGAGAGAGAGGGGGGAGGGTAAGAGAGAGAGAGGGGGGAGGGTAAGAGAGAGAGAGGGGGGGAGGGTAAGAGAGAGAGAGGGGGGGAGGGTAAGAGAGAGAGAGGGGGGAGGGTAAGAGGGAGGTGGGTAAGAGAGAGGGAGGGGGGTAAGAGAGAGAGAGAGAGAGAGGGGGTAGGGTAAGAGAGAGAGGGGAGGGTAAGAGAGAGAGGGGAGGGTAAGAGAGGGGGGAGGGTAAGAGAGAGGGGGGAGGGTAAGAGAGAGAGGGGAGGGTAAGAGAGAGGGGGGAGGGTAAGAGAGAGGGGGGAGGGTAAGAGAGGGGGGAGGGTAAGAGAGGGGGAGGGCAAGAGAGGACAGAGAGGGGGAGGGAGGGTAAGAGAGAGAGAGAGAGAGAGAGGGAGAGAAGGTAAAAGAGAGGGGGGAGGGTAGGGTAAGAGAGGGGGAGGGAGGGTAAGAGAGAGAGGGGGAGGGAGGGTAAGAGAGAGAGGGGGAGGGAGGGTAAGAGAGAGAGGGTGAGGGAGGGTAAGAGAGAGAGGGGGAGGGAGGGTAAGAGAGAGAGGGGGAGAGTGAGAGAGAGGGGGAGGGGTAAGAGAGAGAGAGAGAGAGAGACGGGGGAGGGAGGGTGAGAGAGAGAGGGGGAGGGAAGGTAAGAGAGAGGGAGGGAGGGTAAGAGAGAGAGGGAGGGAGGGTAAGAGAGAGAGGGAGGGAGGGTAAGATAGAGAGAGGGAGGGTAAGAGAGAGGGAGGGAGGGTAGAGAGAGAGAGAGGGAGGGAGGGTAAGAGAGAGAGGGGAAGGAAGGTAAGAGAGAGGGAGGGAGGGTAAGAGAGAGAGGGAGGGAGGGTTAGAGAAAGAGAGGGAGAGAGGGGGTAAGAGAGAGAGAGGGGGGAGGGTAAGAGAGAGAGAGGGGGGGAGGGAGGGTAAGAGAGGGGAGGGAGGGTAAGAGAGAGAGGGGAGGGAGGGTAAGAGAGAGAGGGAGGGAGGGTAAGATAGAGAGAGGGAGGGTAAGAGAGAGGGAGGGTAAGAGAGAGGGAGGGTAAGAGAGAGGGAGGGAGGGTAAGAGAGAGAGAGAGGGAGGGAGGGTAAGAGAGAGAGGGGAAGGAAGGTAAGAGAGAGGGAGGGGAGGGTAAAGAGAGAGAGGGAGGGAGGGTAAGAGAAAGAGAGGGAGAGAGGGGGGTAAGAGAGAGAGAGGGGGGGAGGGTAAGAGAGAGAGGGGGGGAGGGAGGGTAGAGAGGGGGAGGGAGGGTAAGAGAGAGAGGGGGAGGGTAAGAGAGAGGGAGAGAGAGGGGGAGGGTAAGAGAGAGAGAGGGGGGAGGGTAAGAGGGGAGAGGGGGGAGGGTAAGAGAGAGAGAGGGGGAGGGTAGAGAGAGAGAGGGGGAGGGTAAGAGAGAGGGAGGGGGAGGGTAAGAGAGAGAGAGGGGGAGGGTAAGAGAGAGAGAGGGGGAGGGTAAGAGAGAGAGAGGGGGAGGGTAAGAGAGAGAGAGGGGGAGGGTAAGAGAGAGAGAGAGGGGGAGGGTAAGAGAGAGAGAGGGGGAGGGAGGGTAAGTGAGAGAGGGAGGGAGGGTAAGAGAGAGAGGGAGGGAGGGTAAGAGAGTGAGGGAGGAGGGTAAGAGAGAGAGAGAGAGGGAGGGAGGGTAGAGAGAGGGTAAGAGAGAGGGAGAGAGGGGGAGGGTAAGAGAGAGGGGAGGGAGGGTAAGAGAGAGAGAGGGAGGGAGGGTAAGAGAGAGAGGGGGAGGGTAAGAGAGAGGGGAGGGTAAGAGAGGGGGGAGGGTAAGAGAGGGGGGAGGGTAGAGAGAGAGAGAGAGAGGGGGGGGAGGGTAATAGAGGGTAATAAAAGTTCTGAGCCAGGAGTTTCTCCACCAGAGAACGGTGCAGTTAATGATCAGGGAACTATCACTGCACCTGATCACCTACTGCGCCGAAGTACGAACAGCAGGGACACATCTGTCAGAACTGGTAGAGGACGGGGCAGAGGACGTGGAGGAGGAAGACATCTACAGCGGTCTCACCCTCCACTAACACAGTTCCAGCGGCAGAATCTGAGGACAAATCTGCAAAACACAGGAGGTGCAACAAATCCTAGTCCACCCTCCCAGGCACCTAGGCTGTGCTCTCGCTGTCACCGGAAGGGGCACACTGCCAACAACTGCCTGCGAGATACCAGGTGTAATTACTGCTACAAGAAAGGACATAAGGAGGACCAGTGTCGGAAGAAAAAGGAACTTGACAGACAGGGCCACCTGTTTAGAGAACTGTTCTCAGAACAAACCAGCAGGATCTCTGAATTGGTGAACACTCTCACACGTCACCCACTTAGCTACTCCTATCCCAGCCCAGCAGGTGGGATTGTGCCTTATACAAGACCACAGACTTACATCCCTGCAGCTGCCTCAGTACCCTACCTCTCTCAAGGGCAGGCACCTTAAATTCCCTGCACACCCACCACCTCAAGCTGACCACTTCATCATGAGGAGCCAGTCTATCAGCATCCTGTCGGCCAACATTAGAGGTTTCATTACTAATGTTGGAGAGCTCACACATAGTTTTGTGAACACTCGACGTCCCGACATGATAGCTGTTGTTGAAACATTTTTGGATGACAGGACTCCAGAAAATTTTGCAAGAATTGCTGGCTACACCTCATGGATGAGAAGAGACAGGCAAGAGCAAGGAGGAGGTGTTGCTGTGTGCTTCTCTAAAAGTGTTCATGCCCAGCACATTGATGTTGCCACCCCTACACATCTTGAAATGATGTTCTTCAAGCTCTGTATAAACACTAGTACCTCTGTACTAGCATGTGCAATGTACAGACCTCAGTGGCAACATGCAGACCCTATCAACTTCCTAATGGAAAATATTGACTCCCTTCTGCTACAACACAACTGTCAACATATTATAATTGTTGGTGACCTCAACCAGCACCTTATACAGAGGGACTTTGATGACCTTCTTGCAGTGTTTGACATGAGAAACTTTGTTGATTTCCCTACTCATATCTCTGGCTCCTCCCTTGACCAGTAGTGAGTGATCTGGCAGAAGGCATAGTCACTTGTCAACCCTCGGCTATGTTGGATCGTCTGACCACAAGGCTGTTTTTACGACACTTAAGATCCCAACAGAACGAGGTGAGGAGTCCACACGCACAACCTGGCTATGGGAAAGAGGTAATTGGCCAGCCCTTTGCTCTGAGCTCGCCACCACCGACTGGAATGCTCTTCTCCAAGGGGATGTTGACAACCAAGTGAAAGCCTTTCACTGGACACATCCTTAATCTACAACAAGAACACATTCCTCACCGGCAATATGTGACGAAGCCTACAGATCAGCCTTGGTTTGGCTTTCGTTGTAGAGAGGCTGCTACTGCTAAGTACAAAGCATGGCGAAGGTATAAGAGACATCCTACCACCTATAACAGGAACTTGCACATGCAAGCCTGTAGGCATATGGGTGATGTTCAAAAGTGGGCCATTGCTAAATGGGAGGTGGACACTAAAAGAAAGTTAGCATCAGGTAGGGTAGGCTCCAAAACCTGGTGGTCCCTGGTCAAGGACAGACAAGGTTATCTGCCTGATGAACTTATTCCACCTCTAAATCGACAGGATGGGACCACCTCTACTAGTAGTCAAGAGAAGGCGGACCTCTTTGCTGAACACTTTGCTACCAAAATGCAAGTTCTTGATCCAGCAAGGGACCCTCCTTGGCTAGCTGCAAGAACTGTGTCAAAACTGTCAGTGGTGACAATAAGGCAGGAGGAGGTGCATTTCCTACTTAAATCGCTTGACCAAGAAAAGGCTGTGGGCCCAGACAAGTTGAGCCCAAGATTGTTGAGAAGATGTGCAGACCAGCTAGCAGCACCTCTAACTCGCATCTTTCAGCACTGCCTAGTACAGTGTAAATGGCCCTCTCTATGGGAAGAGGCGAATGTAGTCCTTGTTCACAAAAAGAAGAGCAGAGTAGAAATCAGCAACTACAGACCAGTGTCACTCCTGTCAATCACTGGTAAGATCCTTGAGACAATAATCTCAAGACAAATGACAGAGTTTTTTTACTACCACTCACTACTTTGTGATCGTCAATACGGCTTCAGGAATGGTTACTCTGCTGCTGATCTGTTGTTAAACCTCTCCACTAAGTGGCACCAGTCACTGGATGAATCCAAAGTCAGCTGTGTGGTAGCACTGGACATTGCTGGCGCTTTCGACCAGGTGTGGCACCAGGGCCTCTTAGCAAAACTTCAAGCACTGGGAATTGCAGGCTCTACGCTATGTCTCCTCAGTGATTACCTTCATGGTAGATCTCTAAGTGTAGTTCTCAATGGAATGGAATCAGCAAGACATCCTACTGGGGCAAGTGTTCCACAAGGAAGCGTGCTGGGTCCATTGTTATGGAATGTCTACTTCAGCGACCTTCTTCATCTCATCCCAGAATCACATGCATATGCAGACGACTGTACACTGACATTCACTTATCCAAGAGAAGAAACGCCAGCTGCTCTAAGCTACATCAATCACCAGCTGAGAGCTATATCAGCTTGGGGAAATAGATGGCAAGTAACATTTGCACCTGAGAAAACGCAAATGATGATCGTCTCTAGGCACCATGATGGTAATGCTGGTGCAGTAGTAAGGATGAATGGGAGGATGTTGGCACCTGGAGAAGAAGTTGATATCCTTGGGGTGAAATTTGACTCTAAACTAACCATGAAGAACCACGTTGTAAATCTTGCAAACAAGGCAGCCAGGAAGCTTACAGCACTTCGCGTATCTCCCATCTGCTTGACAGTAGGGGTTGCAAGATCCTGTACGAGACACAAGTACGCTCACACCTTGAGTATGCTCCACTTTCTTGGTTTGCCTGCCCCCCCTCTCATCTGCGACTGCTTGACGGAGTAGAGGACAGTGCAAGACGTCTCATCTCTCGCCTGGACCCATCCTGGATAGATCTGTCATTTCAGCAGAGCCTTCAACATAGGAGGGATGTGGGTGGCCTTACTGTTATTTACAAGGCCAATATTGTCAAAATACCACACTTGGATCCACTTCGAGGACAGCGTGAAACAAGCTTTTATGCCACAAGACGGGCAGAAAGCAGCAACTTCACTCTGGCTGTACCCTTCTCCAGAACATCACTCCATCTGAGATCATACATACCCAGGATGACTCGAGTATGGAACACATTCGTACAGCATAATGATGTCAACGAGATAGTCAGTTGATCAAATGAAAATGCTTGCCCACAGATGGCTCCAACTTTATCCTGTTCCCTACTTGTATGTCTCATAACAATAAAAATGCTTTCAAATGAGCTGATGTAGGTAACAGCTCTTAGCTTGCCAATAAAGTTAGGAATCCTTAACCTGTAAATAGCTGTCAATAAAGCTAGGGATCCTTAACCTTGTCAAACCCTGTGTAAAACAAAAAATAGAGGGGGAGGGAGGGTAAGAGAGAGAGAGAGAGAGATAGAGAGAGAGAGAGAGGGGAGGGTAAGAGAGGGAGGGAGGGTAAGAGAGAGAGAGAGGGGGAGGGAGGGTAAGAGAGAGGGGGAGGGAGGGTAAGAGAGGGAGGGAGGGAGGGAGGGAGGGTAAGAGAGGGAGGGAAGGAGGGTGGGTAAGAGAGGGAGGGAGGGAGGGAGGGTAAGAGAGAGAGGGAGGGAGGGAGGGTAAGAGAGGGAGGGAGGGAGGGTAAGAGAGAGAGGGAGGGAGGGTAAGAGAGAGAGGGAGGGAGGGAGGGTAAGAGAGAGAGGGAGGGAGGGAGGGTAAGAGAGAGGGGGGGGGTCGAACGGTCAGTCGGTGTTAGACTGGAGTTAGGTTGAGGTTAGACTAAAGCTACTGAAGTTAAACCGAGATTAAATTGAAGTTACTGAGGTTAGACTGAAGGTTAATTGAAGTTAGACTGAAGTCAGGCTTGGGTTTGAATAATGTTAGACTGAAGTTACTGAGGCTAGACTGAAGTTAGTGTGAGGTTAGGTTGGTAGGGAGGGAATGGGGGATAGGAGGGGGGGAGGGGAATAGAAAATAGCAGACTGGAAAATTATCTCCATAAAATAATTTTTTTTTATACTTGTCGAACATAACTTTGAAAGTGTCGACAGTTTTGCAAAACAAAAGAATGAGAGTAGCTGGGAACGTAGCGTATCCGAAACTTGATTTTAGACAGCCTAGCTGCGAGGCTGACGAAGTCTCAGTGGCAGTTAGCACCTCAATTTGGTAGTCAAATCTTGTTCAGTTTCAGACAGTTGAGGTTTAATTCTAACCGAAAGTCGAGGCGGCTTTCAGTTCGTCAGTTTGGCAGTCAAATCTTGTCTGGCGCACTGACTAAATGGAAGGTTGTGAAGCCGGGGATTAGCATAGCTGCCACGGGCGGTGGAAAGGATGAGGGGGGGGGGATGCTGGAAGAGGAGGGACTCAGGATAGTTGTCAGGACGATGGTGGAGGGATAGGATGGAAGGAAGAAGGTCGCGAGGATTGAAAGAATTATGGAAAGAAGTGTTATTTGGAAGTAATGTAGAAGAGAATCAAAAGGCGCAGGAGTGTGGAACAATACACAACCCGTACATAGAAACTTATAAGGACATGTCGGTCCCACTTGGTCAAGTTGGACCGAAAGACCGTCATAACTTTCTCCTACGTGCGGGTTATTTGCTTAAAGTAGAAGAGGATGCAACGAGGAAATGATAAGTGGGAAGTATTGAAAAGTAGAGTTGAGGGATGGTAGGTAGAAAGGATAATAAGAGGGATGGTAAGTAGGAAGGATGGTAGGTAGGAAGGAAGGATGGTAGGTAGGAGGGATGGTAGGTAGGAGGGATGGTAGGTAGGAAGGATGGTATGTAGGAGGGATGGTGGGTAGGCAGGATAAGTAGGAACTAGGGTCGGTAGGAGGGATGGTAGGTAGGAAGGATGATAAATAAGAAGGATGGTAGGTAGGAAAGATAAGTAGGAAGAATGGAAAGTGGAAGGGATGGTCGGTAGGAAGGATGTTAGGTAGGAAGGGTGATAAGTAGGAGGGACGGTAGGTAGGTAGGATAAGTAGGAAGGATGGTTGGTAGGAAGGATAAGTAGGAGGGATGGTAGGTAGGAAGGATGGTAGGTAGGAAGGATGGTAGGTAGGAAGGATAAGTAGGATGGACGGTAGGTAGGAAGGATGGTAGGTAGGAAGGATGGTAGGTAGGATAAGTAGGAGGGATGGTAGGAAGGATGATGGGGATGATAGGATGATAAATAGGAAGGATGGTAGGTAGGAAAGATGGTAGGTAGGAAGGAGGATAAGTAGGAAGGATGGTAGGTAGGAAAGATAAGTAGGAGGGATGGTAGGGTAGGAAGGATGGTAGGTAGGAAGGATAAGTAGGAGGGATAGGAAGGATGATAAATAGGAAGGATGGTAGGTAGGTAGGAGGTATGGTATGTAGGAGGGATGGTAGGTAGGAAAGATGATAAGTAGGAAGGATGGTAGGGAGGGAGGATGGTAGGTAGGAAGGATGGTAGGTACGATGGATGGTAGGTAGAAAGTATAATTAGTAAGAGGGATGGTAAGTAGGAAGGATGGTAGGTAGGAGGAATGGTAGGTAGGATAAATAGGAAGGATGGTACGTAGGAAGGATAAGTAGGAGAGATGGTAGGTAGGAAGGATGATAAATAGGAAGGATGGTAGGTAGAAGGGATGGTAGGTAGGAAGGATGATAGGAGGGATGGTAGGTAGGAAGGATGGTAGGAAAGATTAGGAGGGATGGTAGACAGGAAGGATAAGTAGGAGGGATGGTAGGTAGGAAGTATGGTAGGAAGGATGATAAGTAGGAAGGATGGTAGGTAGGAAGGGTGACAAGTAGAAGGGATGGTAAGTAGGAAGGCTGGTAGGCAGGAAGGATGATAAGTAGGAGGGATGGTATGCAGGAAGTATGATAAGTAGGAGGGAAGGATGATAGGAAGGATAAGTAGGAGGAATCGTAGGTAGGAAGGTAGGAAGGATGGTTGGTAGGAAGGATGGTTGGTAGGAAGGATGGTTGGTAGGAAGGATGGTTGGTAGGAAGGATGATAAGTAGGAAGGATGATAAGTAGGAAGGATGGTTGGTAGGAAGGATGGTAGGTAGGAAGGATGGTAGATAATGACAGAAGGTAGGCAGGATAGATAGGATGGAAAGAAGGAAGGATAGGTATGAGGGAAAGTAGGAAGGATGGGTAGGAAGAATGGGTAGGAAGGACAGAAGATACAGGAAAGATGTTAGGAAGAAGAGATAGGAAGGATGGTAAGTAGGATGGAAGGTAGGAATGATGGTAGATAGGAAGGATTGTAGGTAGGATGGTAGTGAGGAACGATGGTAGATAGAAAGGATGGTAGGTAGGACGGAAGGTAGGAAGGATTGTAGGTAGCATGGTAGGAAGGCAGGAAGGACAGAAGGTATTAAGGATAGGTAGGAAAGATGGTAGGAAGGATGGAACATAGAAAGGATAGTACTTAGGAAGAATGGAAGGTAGGAGTGATGGAAGGATGATAGTAATGGAATAAAGGATGGTAGGAGTGATGGAAGGATGATAGTAATGGAATAAAGGATGGTAGGAGTGATGGAAGGATGGTAGGTGGGGGTGGTTGTTATCAGTTACACGAGTGTTGACGTCTTAAGAATTATTTCCTGGGGTTTCCACTGGGGTTGAACCTTCAAGGAGAGTGGGGGGGGGGGAGGGCTTTTGATTCAGGTTATTCTCTCCTGCATCAGCTCAAACATTTTTCATTCACTTCCATTCCCGTTCCCAAATGTTTAGCGCTTGCCTGCTAATATAATACAAATGAAAGGAAGAAAATTACCTTTCCTTGGCTAATTGCCTCTCCCCTCACTACCACTATAGAGAGAGAGAGAGAGAGAGAGAGAGAGAGAGACAGAGACAGAGAGAGAGCTTAACGAGGGGAAAAGGGGGTAATTTACTCTCACTAATTGCTGCTTGTTTTCTCATTCCCCAGAGACAACTACGGCTGCAGGACGCCAAGAAGGTGGAGGCCAAGGCTGCCAAGATCAAGGAGTGGGTCACTAACAAGCTCAAGGAGGTAACATTAACTTCTAACTTGTCTTTATTGTTTGATGCTTGATGTTATCTCTCTCTCTCTCTCTCTCTCTCTCTCTCTCTCTCTCTCTCTCTCTCTCTCTCTCTCTCTCTCTCTCTCTCTCTCTCTCACACACACACACACACACACACACACACACACACACACACACACACACACACAGGAGCTCGGACTCGACCCCCGCAACCTCAACTAGGTGAGTACACACACTACCACACACACTACCACACACACACACACACACACACGTACTCATATACAACAGGCCTAGTGTCTAATCGACATGTGCCTAGGACAAAATGGTAACTAAAACACACACACACACACGCACGCACGCACGCACGCACGCACATGAGAAGATAAGTTAGCAAGATTGGACCTAATATATACCGTAAATACATCTGACAAAAGTGAAACAAAGTATGATAGCCTCTTGGGAGCCACTGTTCATACAGTCCTAAACTTTGAGTTCTGGAGGAACTAAAGGTAGAGGGAAATATGGCAGGTAGAGAGTTTAGGAAGTAAGACTTTAGAAGAGCGAACTTCAAGGGATTGAGAGAATTCCTGAATGCAGTGCAGTAAGAAACAGAATTGGAAGGAAAGTCAGCGGATGTGATGGAGAACATAGCTGGAAAATACCGGGAGGCAGAGGAGACCATACCTAAAAGATGATGTGCGAACAACAAAGACAGTCTTCGGTTCAACCAGAGATATAGAGAGGAAAGAAAAAGATATACAGCGTGGAAAAAGTACAGAAAGAAAAGGACAGACAGGAACAGAGAAGTGAGTAGATTAGCTAGAAATGAATGTATTAGGGCGAGGAGAAAGGCCGAGAGAATTTGAGAATGACATTGCATTTAAGGCCAAGTCCGGACCAAAACTGCTTCGCAGTCACATCAGGAGAAAAATGACGGAAGGATAAAATAATTCGACTGAAGGAAGGAAGGAGAAGAGCTCACGAACAACAAGGAGGAAGTCTGAGTAGTGTTGATAAAAAGATTTGCAGAGGTCTTCTCAGTGGAAATTAGGCCAATACGAGAGAGATTGAAAATATAAGGGGCATCGAGAAGCACTGGGTAACATCCACACAACAGGGAAATAGGCAAAGAAACTTAGACTAAGGCAGTGGGACCTGACAACGTGTCACCAGTGGACTGCGAGAGGGCGCAGAAACATTATCTGAACTCCTAACAGTGATCCACAAGAAGTCAATTGATGCGTGGCAGTTACCAGAGATCTGAAAGTCAGCAAATGTAGTTCCTATGTTTAAGAAAGTAGACAGGCTTCAAACTACAGACCAGTTTCTCTGACATGCTTATCTTGCAAGGTATGGTGAAAATTATCAAGAGAGTAGCAGAACACTTGGAGAAGTGGTTTCATACATAATAACCAGCATAGGTTCAGAGATGGCAGATCTTGCCTTACCAATATGTTGGAGTTCTCTGACAAAGTAAAAGATGGGTGACAGGAGAGGGAAGGGTTGCGTGGATTGCATTTGCTTAGACTACAAGAAAGCAATTTGTACTGTACCTAACAAGAAGCTGGGGCAAAAAACTTGAGATCCAGGCAAGAATAACAAAAGATGTAGTGTGTTGGATCAAAAAGTATATTAGGGGAAAGGAAACAAAAGAGTGGCTGCCTTCAAGAGGGAACTAGACAGATGCTTAAGTCAGTGCCCGATCAGCCGGGCTGTGGTTCGTACGTTGGATTGCGTACGGCCAGCAGTAACAGCTTGGTTGATGAGGCCCTGATCCATCGGGAGGCCTGGTCAAGGACTGGGCCGCGGGGGTGTTGAACTTCGGAACGACCTCCAGGTAGACTCCAGGTAGGAAAAAGACGTCAGAATGAGGGATTCCTCAAGGATTGGTATTAGAACCAATACTGTTTCTGATTTATGTAAACGACATATCAGATGGGATTGATTCACTTATATTCCTGTTTCCTGATTATGTAAAACTAATGAGATTGAAAGCAGATGAGGACACGGAAAGGCTCGAAATTAAAAAAAAAAAAAAATAAAAAAAAAAATCAGAGGATGCAAGATTCCAAACAGATCTTGACAAAGTGCACACTTGGTCAGGTAAGTGGTTGCTTGAATTCAACCCCAGCAAATACGAGGTAGTGAACTTGATAAAGGGGGAAGGCGTCCAGCCACAAGGTAGAGACTTTGGGGACAGAGGCTGCAGACCTCACTCAAGGAAAAAGACCTAGGGGTGAGTATAGTGACTGGTGTATCTCCAGTGGCTCACACCAGCCGAATAGCCTCTACAGTCAGTGTTCTTCTGGCAAATGTAAGAGTAGCCTTCAGGAATGTTAATAAGAATCTTAACAGTCATTCCGACCCTTTATGCAATATATGTCAGGCTTATCTTGGAGTATGCAGCACCGGTATGGAACCCACATCAGAAAGAACATTAAGAAACTGGAGAAAGTGCAGAAGTATGCAGCGAGACATTCCCGAACTAAGGGGCACGAGCCGAGGAGAGGCTGACGGAACTGAATTTAATGATGTTAGAGGACTGAATAATTAGGAGGGATAAAACACAAAATATTCATAGGGGAGCGCTAAACCCATAGGAGTCATACGGGAAATATGTAACCTAGCTTAATCCGCGGAAGAGGTTAGGTTTGTTCCTTGGATCAAGAGCCTCTCAACGGCATCAAAAAAACTGCCTTTGATGGAAGAGGTAAAGTAAGACAGACAGGCTGCTTGAGAGGCGGGAAACAAACTCGGCGGCAGAGCTGGAAGTTAGGGACACCTAAGTCATTGGGATGTCAGGAAGTATTTCTTCGGTCTCATGGTGGTTGGGGAGGGTAATGATCTCGATGAAGTGATGGAGGCAGAACCCGTATATAGTTTGGAGAGTAGGTTCAGTAGGACCCACGAGGCTTGGACGTTAAAAGGCGGGTCCAGGATCTAGGACTCGACCCCTGCAACCACAAATAGGTAAGCGCGGGCGTAAACCTCTCTCTCACTCACAAAACAAAACACTAGTTGGCGAAATGTCGTAAATAGATACCCAGGTGTTGTACCTGTGTCTAGTTCCTCATGTAGTCGGTGTTGTATACTAATATTGTAAAGATATCTTTGGGTTGTGTTGAGTCTGGGTGAGTTAAAGATGTGTGCACGGTACTTGCACTCGATATGTGCACGGTACTTGCACTCGATATGTGCACGGTGCTTGCACTCTGATGAAATGACGAGGATGATGGTGAAATTTAGAGAAGATTTGTTGGAGGAAAGAGCAATCTTGTGCAAGCAGTTCACTGTTGCAGATTGTCAGGGATGGAAGGAGAAAGCTGTTGGGTTTCTCTCTGGAAAATAATAATGGAAAACTTAGAATGTCTAAATAAATTTTAATGGAAATTTTAACGCCCATATTAAATAAACCTAACTTTAAAGACAAAAACATAGAGACAAAGTGAAACTGAACAAAAAAAATAAAATTAATGGTCAACCAGAAGAACAAGTAAACATTCAGTACTGTGGCTCTTGTTACTGTGGCTCCTGTTACTGTTGTTACTGTGGCTCCTGTTACTGTTGTCTGTTACTGTGGCTCTTGTTACTGTTGTCTGTTACTGTGGCTCCTGTTACTGTTGTCTGTTACTGTGGTTGCTGTTACTGTTGTCTGTTACTGTGGTTGCTGTTACTGTGGCTGCTGTTACTGTTGTCTGTTACTGTGGCTCCTGTTACTTTTGTTACTGTGGCTCTTGTTACTGTTGTCTGTTACTGTGGCTCCTGTTACTGTGGTTGCTGTTACTGTTGTCTGTTACTGTGGCTCCTGTTACTGTTGTCTGTTACTGTGGCTCCTGTTACTGTTACTGTGGCTCCTGTTACTGTTGTCTGTTACTGTGGCTCCTGTTACTGTTGTCTGTTACTGTGGCTCCTGTTACTGTTGTCTGTTACTGTGGCTCCTGTTACTGTGGCTCCTGTTCCTGTTGTCTGTTACTGTGGTTGCTGTTACTGTTGTCTGTTACTGTGGCTCTTGTTACTGTTGTTACTGTGGCTCCTGTTACTGTTGTCTGTTACTGTGGCTCCTGTTACTGTTACTGTGGCTCCTGTTACTGTTGTCTGTTACTGTGGCTCTTGTTACTGTTGTCTGTTACTGTGGCTCTTGTTACTGTTGTTACTGTGGCTCCTGTTACTGTTGTCTGTTACTGTGGCTCCTGTTACTGTTTGTTACTGTGGCTCCTGTTACTGTTGTCTGTTACTGTGGCTCCTGTTACTGTTACTGTGGCTCCTGTTACTGTTGTCTGTTACTGTGGCTCTTGTTACTGTTGTCTGTTACTGTGGCTCTTGTTACTGTTGTTACTGTGGCTCCTGTTACTGTTGTCTGTTACTGTGGCTCCTGTTACTGTTGTCTGTTACTGTGGTTGCTGTTACTGTGGCTCCTGTTACTGTGGTTGCTGTTACTGTAGCTGTTACTGTGGCTGCTGTTACTGTTGTCTGTTACTGTGGTTGCTGTTACTGTGGTTGCTGTTACTGTTTGTTACTGTGGTTGCTGTTACTGTTGTCTGTTACTTTGGCTTCTGTTACTGTTGTCTGTTACTGTGGCTGTTGTTACTGTTGTCTGTTACTGTGGCTGTTGTTACTGTTGTCTGTTACTGTGGCTGCTGTTACTGTTGTCTGTTACTGTGGCTGCTGTTACTGTTCTTTTACTGTGGCTGCTGTTACTGTTGTCTGTTACTGTGGTTGCTGTTACTGTTGTCTGTTACTGTGGCTGCTGTTACTGTTTGTTACTGTGGCTGCTGTTACTGTTGTCTGTTACTGTGGCTCTTGTTACTGTTGTCTGTTACTGTGGCTCCTGTTACTGTTGTTACTGTGGCTCCTGTTACTGTTGTCTGTTACTGTGGCTCCTGTTACTGTTTGTTACTGTGGTTGCTGTTACTGTGGCTCCTGTTACTGTGGTTGCTGTTACTGTAGCTGTTACTGTGGCTGCTGTTACTGTTGTCTGTTACTGTGGTTGCTGTTACTGTTTGTTACTGTGGTTGCTGTTACTGTTGTCTGTTACTTTGGCTTCTGT